TATGTTTTTGTTACATTAGGTGTAATTATACTGACGATATCTTTGTGTAATTTATGTCTTACTTTATGTTGTTGAGGACCCCCTTAAAAACGAGATGGTACATCCCGAGGGGGTTATTCCTGATAAAGAATTTCCAGGTTGCATGTGTTTGCATGCAGGTTAAATATATTGAGCCAAAAATATTGTTATTTGTGTTTTGTACATTTACATCAATGTTTTATTGTATTAACAGTACCTACTGTACATTTGCTAAGACCCTGTTGCAAGACTTTTGTTTAGGAGACAAGCACACAGAGAGCCAGACAATATGTTAAATACTGTGAAGATCGTGATAGCAGTAAATGCACAAAGTTATTACATGTTTTAATGAAACTTCTTAAGTTTGATATACATGTTTGCACTATTCAGTATGCCTCTGTCTGACAAAAGGACAGTTGTTCTCCTCCTCATATACTCATCTTTAACCACCAACTGTTCTGCTCGCTAAGACTATGTAGATCTTTTATGGACTGCTAGCACTAATACAAATATGAACACAAACATTTAATATATTAATAATGTGACTTTGGGTTTTTGTGGTTCTTTTCAAGAATAATACCCAAGTCATAAAACCAACCCCATTAAACTGCAAGGTAGATTGTTAATTTAAGCAGATATCAGACCCAGAAGCAGACATAGGTATGTGGTTGAATAATAAAAAGGTATTTTATTGAAAAAGGGGAGCAGGGAGATGGAGATGGATTAGGAAAGCTGAGGGCTGTGGCTGGTGGAGACTGTTGCTGGCAGGATGAGCGTAAACGTGGTGTGGCTGATTGAAGCAGATGGATGATGCAGGCAGAGAGCAGGCAGGTGAGTCTGAACCTAAATCACAAGGAGGGAATACAATATGAAACCCGAATCACACGAGAAAGCAAACTGAGCACAACTGCAGAATAGCACACAAGAGAAATTGGCCATGAGTTCATACTACTGAAGTAGCTGACTGAACAACCTGTCCATGAGTGGGTGGAAATGGGGGGTGGGGTTGAAATATAGCATTCAGGTGTGCTTGATTGCAGCCAGGGGGCCCAGAGAGAGAGACTGAAGATCACCACGCCCACAAACCGACACAGAGACATGACAGACAAGGGAAACAGGGGAAGGAAGACCAAACACAAACCCAGAAGTCAAGGCTGAGACCATGACTCAGAGTATACAACTGTCTGTGTGAAACTGAAACTCTTCCACAGCAGCCTGGTAGTCCAACAGTGTCCAACCTTACACACAAGGTCCTCAAATCTCATTATATGCCACTTTAATCGCTTTCATACACCCAGGTTGCATTTACTGAATGTTTATTTATGAAAAAAGTAGGTGGTGACCTGACCAATAAGTAATTGATGGTTTCAGCTGCAGGATCAGTGAAGCTGTTAAACAGGAAGCTGAGATGGGCCTGATGGTGTGAGGCTGTCAAAGTGAGGCTGTTAAAATGAATTTGCCATAAACATAAATACACACAAAAGGGATGTCTAGTGCGTTTAAACACATTTGCAACTTATTATCATTGTGCATGTCAACTTATTTGTTGCATCTTTTATTTCTTTGAGTTTTGATTATATTGTATTGTATTACATGATATTTCAATATTACCTCTGTGATTCCTCAGATGAGGGAGACTGTATTAGCTTTCATCAGTGAAAATGGACAGCACCAGAAACTGCTGAAGACCAAACACTTTAAGCATCTGGAGCAGCTCATTGTGTCCAGTGGTCAACCTAACCAGGTGAAAGACTTGAGAACTGCTTTATATATTTATTTATTTATTAGTTGTTTTTCTTGTTTCTTTTTTGATTTTTGTAAGTAAGCAAAAACATGCTAGTAAATCAAACAAGGATCTATGTGTCAGTAGCAGTTGGCTGCAAAGTGGACGATACATCAAATATATAGAGATATAGAGAAGCCAAATCCAGCAGTCAGAGCACATTGAGACAGTGACACTAATAAACAAGCTATTGTTGTAGGTATGTGCACAACAGGTATTTCACAAAGGCTTGGGCAGTTTTTCTTTGTATTGGTCATCTTTGCTGTGCTCCTTTCTATATTAAACCCTGCTTTTCCTATCATATGCCCATTTAAGTTTACCTATATATATTTTTTTGTAAAAATCTCTTATATTTATATATATTTATATATTTAATATTTGTAAAAAAGATGATCAGTGAGTACACACAAATAGGAAAGGGTTCACAGGGCTGATGTGGTAGTGGGTGAACCACACGGACATTGCACATTGAGAAGATGTTTCCTGTTTGATTCAAAGTAGGAACAACAAACCTCATTTGATTCCATACAGTAGTAGGTCAAAGCCACATTTTATTACTCTGCCAGTCTGAGCCAGCTACCCTTGTAAATTCACTTGAATTTTAATGATTGTGTGGGAGGTTGAGTGGAAAGTTATACTCTTTCTTTTGTGTTGAAATTACACGATTTACAAATCAAAGCCTAAAATTCTATGTTTTTATCAAATTAGAGTTTTATTCCAAATTAGAAATTGGGTTGTACAGTGCATGTCATCCACAAACGTCTGCATTGTAAGACCAGAGGTTTATTAGTATCTTAACTGCTAGAAGGTACAACCAGGTGAAATAATTCCTATTGTCATTACCATGCAGTGTATATTCTGTATGATTATTGTAACATATTTCTTGAGTTCTACTGAGTCACACTAATTCCCTTTGTGTTTCAGCATAAATGAAAAGCATGTACGATGATATGATATAATATCATATATGATGATATAAGTCTTATTGTGTCAGTGTGTAGACTGGGTGCTGGTTCAAACAAATCAGTATCCTCTTAGAAAGCTCCAGTGTGTAACATTAGGAGGATCTATTAGTATAATGAGCATAACTATGTTTTCATTAGTGTATGAGTGTAGAATGAGACATTTTTATCTACAGACACTGCAGGTCGCCTTCCTCAGAAACCACCATGTTGAATTCATACATGGTACAGTCGCCCATAACGGACAAAACAAGCACTGGCTCCATCTAGATAGGGTAGTTTGTGTATTTCGCAGCCACCATAGTTTCTCCTTCACACTTCGAGTTGGGGGGTTGAAGCAAGAGGGTTGCAATCTACAGCTATATCCCGCTAGAGGCCACTAAATCCTACATACTGGACCTTTAAAACTTGCTAATAGTGTTGTCTAATACTTGTATTTCTTAAATGTGCATTAGAGATTTATGATTTATTTATTTCTGTATGAATCCCTTATTTACTTAAGGTTTTTAAATGCATGCATGCATGTATATCAGCAGAAATGACTTTCCTATTAATACCCCTATGTAATGATCATGGGAACACAGAGGAGGAGGTGTTTGTGGTTGTTGTATAATTGGACTACATTTCAGAGAAACCAAACTGTATTTACTATTTAAAAGGTGGTATCTCATCTTCCAAATTGGCTCATTCTGTTTTTTGTAAATCAAGTTAGTATGTAATATAAGTACTTCATCTTAACTGGAAGAAATAATACAGAAAAACACAGAAAAACTCTGTGATGAGGATAAAAATCTTTATTACTTGTTCAAGCATTGAGGACAAGGAAAACACATTTAGAAGGATTTATTTTTAAATTACTTTTTACCTTTTGAATTACTAATTTAAATTAGCAGTCATTATAATCATAGAGCACCCTCATATGAGAAAGCTATGACACATTATATTATATTATGTTATATTCTTATCATAACAATTATGGTATGTTTCTCCATAATTACTGTTCAGAGTTTAGAGAGTTGAAGTTTAGTTTGGTGTCTGTATAAGCTGAACAAAATATTAAGTAAATATTAAGTCATAGCATTAGAATAGCATATTTTTCGCAGAAGAAATATTTAGAAAAGTGCATTCATAAAGAGAAGTAAAAATCACAAAACTTTTGGCAATAAAGGCAATTCATATATATTTTTTAAGTCAAAATATACTGAAAAATTACTGTATAATAGAAGTAAAAACAATACAGGAGCATCTTTTAAATGTTAGCGGAGCTGCATCCATCACAATGATTCCCTTGACTGTGGCTTTGTGATAACAGCTGGCTGAGCGACTGGGAGCCTGTTTCCCGAGTTTTCTTCTCTGTACTTTCATCAGTCTTTGCTTGGGGCAGATGAAGAACTTTCCTGCAGATGTTCTTGATTGTAGAGCTGGAGAAGTAGTAGACCACAGGATCCAACGCGCTGTTGAGATAGGTCAGGCTAATGGTGATGTAAAATGCGGTGGTCAGGTTTTCCAGGGCAGGACAGACTTGGGATAAGGGGAGGGTTTTGGCTAGTTGATTGGTCTTGATCCAAATCAGCAGCTGCATTATGTTGCTTGGGAGGAAGCAAATGATGAAGAGCACTGCCACTACAATGATGAAATACAGAGCCTTCTTAATCTTTGCATGATGGGCCAACTGTCTCCCTCTCAGGTGGCCAACAATGCTGATTGTGCAGTAGAGAATCACAAGCAGAGGTATAATGAAGGAAAAGATAAACCCAAACTTATGCCAGGTCAAATTATGTTTGGGGTTCAGTCTCAATCATGAAGCTCTCGCAGTAGGTTGTGTTGATATGTTGCAGAGTGAAGACATGAGCTGTCATTGAGATGGTGAGCAGCCACAGTACAAGAGCCCCACACATGGCTTTGGAGACACTCAAAGAGTTGATAGGATGATGGGGATGCACCACACGCATGTACCTGTCCACAGCTATAGCCATCAAGAATATGGTACTTCCACTGCGATTCATTGCCAACATGAAGAGGCAGATGTTGCAAAGAGCGCCTCCAAACATCCACTTAATCTTAGAGATGTAGTAGCTAGCACGGAAAGGCAAAGCCACGTTGAGCAGAAAATCAGCCATTGCCAGGTTGAAGAGTAACACCGTGCTGCTCTTCCAGGGCCTCAGGTGGAAGCAGAAGATCCAGAGAGCAAAACCATTTCCAAGGATTCCCAAAAGAAACTCTGTGACCAGCAGTGGAGGGAGAACACTGATCAGTAGAGTCCCATTAAAATTGCATTGCATGTTGAGTTAGGTGTTGTCTTGCTGGCTACAGGTCAAAGAAATAAACCCTCAATGACTATTTGTATTCTTTAAAGGGGAAACTTAAAAAGAAAAAAACTGTGGTTGTGGTTTTGACATATACAGGAAATTCAGGTTCTGCTTTTTTTGTATGAACACAACATAAGTTATCTTTACTGCTCAAAGATGTTAGATTTTTCAAGAAATTGAATTGAATGTAGTTCGTGTTTCAATTCAAATAATTATTAACTCTGAGAAACTCTTACTTGCATGTGAGAAAATGCAGCAGCTGCCACAAGCCACAGGACACACTGGTGTTACACTATCAGCAACAAATGTTGCGCTCGAAAGCTTAGCTCGTTGTTGCATTGCCAAGGACTACAACTAGGTACCTGCATCATTCTGTGATGATGCATCACATAATAAAAAGACAGACAGATCAGGGTTGAGGGCACAATGAATTAAGCTAATAGGTGACCTCCAGTGTGACATTAGACTGGGTTGAAGGTCACAGCACAACAACCTTAAACACAAAAAGACAAAACAGTGCTGGAGTGTTCTGGGGACAATTAAGCCTCAATAAGTCCAGAGTGGTACCTCTACTGAACATCTGTGGAGAAACCTGAGGGTCCCAATTCACCGATGTGCTCCGGCCTGCCTACAAAGCACTAAATACAGAGTCTGAATATATGAATTAAAGGTCAGTGTGTAACAATTAGGTTTTGGTATTGTAATGGCCAATAGTGGTCACAGCTGTGAAAATGTAGCCTGTTTCCAGACTCCCAGCAGTGCAGATTTATTTAGTAATTCAACTAGAATGACTGAAATGAAGCACAATTATTCTTCAGTTTGATTATCGGGCTCGTGAATACAAAGAACATCCCATTCTGCAGAAATAAATCTGTCACACAGCATTGACACATGTGCTGCAGAGGTGTGAAGTAAATCTTTTTTGAGATGCATGACTACTGCAATACGTAATTCACAGCCTTCTGAGAAAGACCAGCTGACTGTGTGCAGCTGATCTTCTTGTGAGTAGATCGGTGTCATTATGAAACAGCACAGCTGAGTCGGATCACAAAATAAAATATCATCTTAATGCAAGGGGATTATTTTATATTAATTGCACTTACTGACATAAATGAGCAAATTAGGTTTGGATGTTGGAAAAAAATACACATTATTATATAACGTTTACAAAGATTATTTATTCTGTTTTGGGTGAGGGAGGAGGGTGAAGTGCGACGGTTTTGAGAACAAGCAGACGAGGGGATGAGCAGGATGGTTTAAAACAAAGATATAAGTTGTATTCAAAGTAACATACATACAGTTTGAATTCAAACCAATTAATTGATTCCTTCCTAAAGTTATTTCATAATCAGACAATAGGCTGAAATAAGTTAGGAGGACGCTCACAGTTTATGAACCTCTACTGCTATCTAGTGGTTCAAATTTGAAAATGCTTCCTTTGCCATATGTTTTAGAGATTGCTTCATGTGAAGCATCTTTCCCTGAGTCACTTTTGAGTGACCGTTCCTCTTAAATTGACCACAAGGGAAGTTGTTGGGTGGTGGTTATTTTAATAACACCAGTCAGTTATGAGAGCATAGAGCCATGTGGAGACAAGTTTCTTATCTCTTTTGTAAGATTTTATAAAAAGCTGTGTGACTAATAAAGACACATATGCTTAGAAGTAGGAGAGCGAGTAAAGAAGTCAAGCTGTAGGAGTGACCATTGCTCAGCATTTAATGAATTAACTTTTTTTTTGTGGAGCACCTTCTCATAAAAGCAATTAATAGTGCTTTACAAAGCCATAAAACATATACAGACAGACAACACACATAAGCAACTGAGAGAAAAACAAACTTTCCATCTTTACTTTTTGATCACTATCCATAAGACCTACACAAGAATGCTCTGAACTATTTTCACATGACTTAACAGTGCTGATCGTTGCACATGTCAGTGCTGTCACTGTAATTTATCCATGGATGTCAGCTGGGCCGTGCCACTTCGCCGGCTGGTTGAGAATATGTGTGCAGTGTTACAGTGCAGAACCACTGTGGAAAAATGTGAAAGAGCCTGTTTGGCCTGCGGGGCAAACATGTCCTTTTGTTCCCTTCTCCTGTTGTCCCAACTGCCCTCGTGTTTCCTTCACCTGCATACATGGGAACAAAACATCATGGTCGCTACTCCACCCGGCGCAACAAACGTGAAATACCAGTCCTACAACCTTGAGGACGACTGAAATGCAGACAGAGTCTAAAATGTAGAAACAACTGTGTTAGCTTTCTTATTCCAGTCTGCTGTCAAACACTTGGTGAGGTGCTGAAGAACTACACCTGAGCTGCAAAGTGGGGGAAATGAATTATGCTGTCCAGTTTTCAAATGTACGACTGTTACCATTGTGTCTTGATAATTTCAATAGATTTGTTTCGGAAAAGTTTTTGGGTGAAGTTGTGGAATGATAAAAGACGGAGGAAGCAGTGATTAAGAGAAACAAAACAGGTAATTCCACATACCTCTGGGGCATATGGTTGGTCATGTTGAGTAAAGTGAATGTTTTTCTATTTTCAGACATTGATCTGCTTACATCAGCTTTCTGTCCTGTTTCTGTCACACCCAAAGACACAGAGTTCCCTTAAAAGACCACAATGGCACTTTGAACATTGCTAACTTCATCTTAAAGATAGTAGTAGTATGTAGCGATAGATCGATTAATCAGTCCGCCTATTAATTGGGCCGATTATCTGACATTTTGAGATAATCTGCATTGGCCGATGTCTGTGCTCATGTGGCTGATAAACAAAAAATGTCTGCAGACAGCTATGCCAGTGTGGCTGCTATGAAACAATGTTAGCACTCCACTCTGTGAGTTTTGGTAAAGTGGTGAAAAATAAAAAATATGCCTGAATTTCCTATAGAATAGAATTATACTACATATTATAGGCTAGTTTTGATATCGGCATTATATATCGGTCATCGGCAGCCCTGCTCTCTAAATATCGGCATTCAAAAAACCCATATCGGTTGACCACTAGAACAGTGTGTAGGATTTAGTGGCATCTAGCAAGGAAGCTGCACATTGCAACTAACTGAACACTGCTCGCATCTGTATTTGTCCACCTGGGAATGAGAACGGGCTGTGGAGTGTTTAGGAGAAACTACAGTGACCGTAAAACAGGAAAACCCCTATCTACAGCCAGTGGAAGGCTACCATGGTGTCTGTGGATAAAAAGTGCTCATTATGAGGTAATGGAAACTCAACAATTCCAATATTCAGGTGATTATACACTAATAAAGACATACCAATGAATATTACACCCCGGTTCTGCCAATAGATCATCCTAAATGTTACACACTGGACCTTTGAAGGACTTATCAGCATTGTTTGCATGCTTTGAATAGGGGGCATAACTACCTGCAACCATATTAGCTGCTCTGCTTACTAGGCTACAGGTCCAATGAATTAATTTAATCAGTGATCACTTGAATAACACTGTATGTCCTGCTTCATGTTTCCGAGTGTCACAGCCAAGTGTACTGGCTCACCCATCTTGATTTTAATCTGAACCTCATTTCCTGGTTTATGTCATCACTGCTTGAAGATACAATCTCGTGATCAAAAAGAGAAAATAGAGGAAAGAAAAAACTATCTTTCAAATAATCCTCAATGGGTTTCATTGGAGTGACGTCACTGACTACAGCTGAGAGAGGCAGACACAAAAAAAACAACAACCATACAACCATTTATAATAATAAGAGAGAGAATAAAGCTGAAATACCTGTGCTGTGACACATGTAGGCTGGGGGGAAAAAAAGTGACACCGCATGTGGGAGGTTGTCGGCGGCAGAAGACACGATGATGATGATGATTTCCTCCACCTTTAGGGGGGAGGATCCTTCCACGTAACGCGAGGCAAACACACTCGCTTCATTTGCTCTTCCTCCTTCAGCCGCGATGCATCACCGGTAATGAAGCCGCAGCTTGGAGATGCCTCTTGCTCTCACACACAGTCTGGAGTCTAGATAGGAGAAGAACATATTTGCTCTCGCCTGGACGTTTTTGTTGTTGTTTGTTTTGTTTTTTTTTTAAAAAAGAGGTGGGGGAGGATTTAAGTGTTTTATAGCCGAAAACCGTCATTGTCAAAACTAGAGGATGAACAGCATAAGACAGGTGCCCACACGGGTGAAGAGCAGGCGGACTGAGGCCAACCTTGGAGCGGAGAGAGAGCATTTTGACAAGCAGCAGGTAAAAATATAAAACGGTGGGACTCGTCGGGGTTTGTGTTCACTGTTGGACGATGAAACCAGCGCTTGATTCCGGCCTGCTGTGGCTGTACTGGGTGCCTGTAGATGTGTGTGTGTGTGTGTGTGTGTGTGTGTGTGTGTTATATATATATATATATATGTGTGTGTGTGTGTGTATGTGTAGCGTACCGCATAGGCCACATCTCCAATTAACCAATTGGTTTTGGGGGAATTGGATGTTTTAATGTGTGAATTAAATGTCTTGAAGGTGTCTGCGCACACATTAAAGCCTGTTTTTAAAATGTGTATATTACCAGTACTTAGCATTATATATTATAACACTGGAACTTTGACTTTAAGGATTTTGAGTGTTTTGTTTTTAAAACAGAAAATCAGTCTTGTTTATTTCACAATAAATGTTCCAGATACATGAGCTTTCTCCTGTAATGGTCAACTGAGAGATTTGACCATTTAAGCATGGTTCATACAGTCCAGTGCTCTGTATAGGCTCACCACTCAGAAGTCTGCCCATTGGTATCACGCTGAACTAGTCCTTCCTGTTTGGCCACCTTTTCTCCCTTTACGTTCCTGTCTCTGAACAGCCTCGTTGTTTGAATTTATAGCAGTTAGGGAACTGGAAGAGCTTTAACTTTAAGATATTACTTAGAAGTCTGATTTAAAGTTTGTATTTGAATACGCTAAAGGAATGAGGTTCGTCTCATTCTTCGTACAACAACAGGTGCTTTGTGGTTTCTGGCTCCCACTGCAGTCATCTGCAAAGTAAACCATGCTCTTCACCATCATACATGAGTAAGATACTTTCAATGTAGGGAATATATTGTTGACTAAATGCTGGAATCTGTTGAAGAAGGAACCAGCTGCTGTTTCAAGTGAAGCACATACATCCACGGTCTGACTTGGAAACGTGAGATTCAAACGAGGTGAGTAACTAAACAAACTGTTAAGCAGCTGCCTGGGAGCTCCGACTCACAGCACTTTCAGTATTTTGTTATCTCAAATGGGCTGAGCTTTTTCCCTACGTTGGGTGTATATTCCTCTGTCAATGTTTTATTTGCTTTTGAAACACAAGGAAAGAGGTGGAGTTGAGGTGTTCAGACCACTGCCTGTTTGTCCTCTGTGCCCCTTTCCACATCACAAAACAGCTAGAATACATAATAATGTAATATTGTACTCACAAATTCCTTATTTTTTTACTATCCAGTCCTCTTCCTGCGGTATGTTTTGAGTTTTTGAGTTTGATATTGCAGCATATTTGTTGATTAGAACAGCAAATGGCAACAAGAAGGCACAGTTGTGATTTCAAAACTACGCATTGTTGCCCCACTAGTTCCATGCTGTGCAACAAATGCTCAACAAGGCATATTGTGTGTAAAGGACAAGTGTCAAAGTGTTGTTTAAAACTCACAGCATATTCAGAATAGACTGGAACTAGTTAGATTTACTGCTTTCACCGGGTGTGAATGTGACTTACTGACTGTCGGGTGCAGCCACAGGGGATCAAGTCACCACTGCTCAGCAGGATGGATCCACCGGGCAACACGCAAATGAAGTGGGCAGTCTGAGGAAGAATCCTGACTCCTGATTGGCTAATGGTTACATTTATCCAGAAACTTTATTGTACGGCTCTTTACAGCCTCCTGATTTCACCATGAGTTTAGTGGATGTGGACACTCAACTAGTTGCCATATGTACCGATGAAGCAACACAACTGTGCAACTATTAGCTAAATGAGAATTGTAACTGGTTTATGGTGCATAAGTCTGGAAACAAAGGCTTTTCATTCTATTAGATTAATATTTATCTCCTCATAGATATCCTCAGTACTGCTGATTCATCCAGTACACTGACTGAAACGCCTCTTGTGCGCCTCATTCTCTCCTGTGTTCTCTTCTCTTTATGTTGACCTCGGTATCAAGGTGAAATGTCTCACACAGTGTCCTGTGTGTGTGTGTGTGTGTGTGCGTGTGCGTGTGTGCGTGTGCGAAGTGTTTGCTTTCCCTCGCTCCTGTTGCCTGAGTGAGCGCCCATGAGAGGAAAGGGGGGGATGGGAGTACCAGAGGGTAAACACAGCTACTGAGTGGGAGTAGAGAAAGAATTAAAAGCACTGAAGTTGTGATTAAATCACACACTACTAAAATTGTCTGCTGTGTTAAGTCAAGACTTGTTCTTGTAGTGAGACCGTATGTCAGTGTTTGTGAACAAACAAAAAGGGTCAAGTTGTTGTTTTACCTTTTTAACGTTTCTATCAAAGTGTTGCTATGCAAAGAAACGTGCAGTCTTTGCTTAAAACAGGACAAAATGCTCATGATAATATTATAACCATACAGAGCGCACATGTAATGCTTATGTATTATTGACTAAGCAAGTGCTCATCATGCCCATAAATCCTTATTTTCACTGAAAATAGACTACAGCCCGAAACACAATGTTATCATACTACTGTATCTATGCCGTGGTACATATGTTAAACAGCTAAGGTTCATAATCGTGAACATCACGCAAATCACGAGATAACCAACCAGCTCTGACAATTGGCCAAAAAACAGTCTGGTTGCTAAAGAACAGTTTATCTTTTGTTAAATATTTTAGTGGCTGTCGTATTCATAATTAAATTAGACATGAAAGTGAGACATAACCCCTGTCTCTGCAGCCATTCAATAGTTCTGTTGATTCATTCACGCTTTCTCACTTAAATTCAATCTGTCCATTCTGCCTTTATTGAGACATTTAAACTTTATTCCCTTCATTGAGAAGTCTATCCTGAGTGTGAACAGGGTTTTATAACAAATTATGTGTCTTATTTAGCATGATTTACTGTAACTGTTGCCATGTTTGTCTGTGGTTCCAAGGGTCTTCATTCATAGTTCAGTTGCCCTTTTAATCTGATGAACTTGGATATACTGATGGATATATGATTTATACTCTTACTTTTATGTCAAATGTCTGGCATTAAGAGTGAAGTAGACAGTAAATATGAGGGATTACAACTATGCAGAACATACAGATGAACATCAGGTATTGTTTCTGGGTTGGGCAAGTGCTTATTGTAGATCTAGAAGATGTTTTATTTGTGTTTATACATCACAATGACGATGTGTAGTGTCCTTTCCGTTAGCACGTATGAGCATTTTGAAGGAGAACAGAACTTGTGTGTTTTGTTTATTGCCTGTGTTGATGTGGGAGAGGCTGTGCTAGTTTAATTAGAAAAGGGACAAAGTAGCTGAAGGAGAGGATTGGAGCAACACAATAAGCAGTTAATAAAATACCAAAATAACCTGTGAAGCCATTTGATTTGAGGAAGAATATTAAATTGACACATAAATAGTGTCAAGGATATTTGACCCTTCTTTGCATTTCCTTTGTTGCTTCTGTTGCACCGCTTTCACTAATTTAAAACACCAGGTGAATTGTTGGCATTGTTACTAGTAATACATGTAACTAACCTCAGCTAATGGGTGTGAGCTGTGAGTGTGTGTGACCTTGTTAGCAAGATCTCCTGCAGCAGTCTGTTGAATTAAGCTGATAAGGACCTGCAATAAGTGCTCTTGCTTTGGGGCATTATGTCCAGTGAGAAGCAGCTCAGGTGTAGCGTTGATGCTTTGACTCCATTAATTTCACACACTGTGCCACACCAGGATGTCCAAGCACATGGACACGCTGCTGAAAAGCAAAGATGACAAGGTAAGCAGTTTTAAGGTTGGCTGTATTAATGCAGCATGTGTGTGTGGCTACAGTAAAGCTAGCTGGCAATAGACCTTATGGCAGGCCTGAGGGATTAGTCCAGGCTTTCCCTCCCTCTCACTTCTCCTCTCTGCTGGTCAGGGGATTTACTGACGCTTGAACCAGATGCAGCACTAACTTATCGGGCAGCCACACAGGCGACAGTGTCAGCATGTCCGGAGCGCTTGGACCACATTGCTCTGTTAGTAAAGTTTGGATTTCATCTGACTTACCTTTGACCGTGGCATTAAGGAAAATGGTATCTGTAGTGTTAGTGTATGACCTGTGGTGGAGGTTAATGTTAAAATGATCGTTAGTTGCAGCCTTACTAGTAATTGAAGGGTTGCTACTGTAGTTTGATCCCCATGTAGCCAGTTCCCATTACTTCCGTAGTAGCCTTGAGCAAGGGCATGTAAGGGTATGTACACTGGAGCGCACCAATGAGTTTGTTTTCTAAAAAGCTGCAATACAGCTCACTAGCTGGTGATCATGTGCTCATTGTGACAGTAAACTGTACATAGTATTTGGTCACCCTCCACCTCTTGTCGTGCATTCGATGTCCTTCTCCCTTCTGCCCCTTTCCTCGCTCTCTCGCTGCTCTCTGACTGACAGCCATTCTGAATGTACTATGAGAGTCTCCCTGCAGCCTCGCTGCTCAGCGGCCATCTGTTGAGGCCTCTGTGCCAGGCTCTGTGTGCCAGAGCGCGGCCCCCATCCAACCCAATCTTCTGCCCCAGCTGTCGGCCTTCCTCCCCAAACAAACCCCTCATTGTCACACAGGCCTTCATGCTAGCCCAGTGCACTTGCCCTGTGTAAACGAGAGACTAGCAGTTCATTTGCGTCAGAAGCAGGCAGGGGGAGTCTCCCATTAACCAGTACACCCCTCTCTCACTCTGAATGCCACAGTAGCCCCTCTGTGCTTTGTTGTGTGGCCATGTATGTTTTGGTGGGTGTGTGTGTGTGTGTCTGGGGTGGCGACTCCCAGGTTTTGTAATGTATTAAAGAGGCTTTTATGGGGTTTTGTGGGATTAGGGACCTCTTCTACTGATATATGTGATTGTTTCAAACAAAGATGTGACATGAATGTCTAAGCATGTGTTCAAGGGCAACCCCGAAGTACCGGGGTCTTGTGCTGTCATTTACTGTTATTTCTACTACATTATGGTTACACGCTAATTTATAAGGAGCCTTTTTTTTTATCCAGGAAGATGCTTTGGGAAAGGCTGTTATAAAAGAGATTGAAAATGCTTCTGCTTTAATGCTTGAACTGTATGCTGGATTAGTCTCTTATGTAATACTGTGGTGGTGAAGCTGGCTTGCTAGCATCATACAATAATACTATGGGCCTCAACAGATGCTAAAAGGACACAGTACATATAAAACACAACTAGATGCATTTATATTACATTTCTGTCTTTAATTCTTCCAAAACATTAAAATAATCCCCCACTAAGAATTTGGGGTATCATTATAAAAGAAGAATATGCATAAATAATAAGCACCCAGCTGTTGTTTCCTTGCTGGTTTTAACAAAGACTAACAGGTCTGGTTGATTGTGATCTCAGTGGGAAGCGGTGCTGTAGAATGAGGTATTCTCGGGCCAAGTGTTGATTACATTTTTATCACACTGCCTTTCATACAAAACAGCACTGAGATTTAACCACAGTTTTTAAGACTAATTTAGCTATGGGTGGCGTCGCAGTAGTCTAGGGGTAACAGTGCTGTCTAGCCGTAGCTTTGATCGTCATGTAATTGTTAAGTGTTAATGAATCCCACATTCTGAAATTTTATTAAATTAATTCGATTCGACTTTGAAAGTAAGGGAGGAGGAGAAAACAAAATCTTAACAGGTCCAATCGTTTTCATGTACTTTTCCAAAGGTCTTCATGGAAACATCGTTCAGACTGTGGCTTTGCAAATTCCCTGCACATCATACAGCTGACTGTACAGAACATTCTCCATTTTTGGCTTGCATCAAATTTCTCTCTGCAAATCGCTCTTACCACAGCTGCTGTGAGCCATCATTGATGTTTCAGTGTCAAGATACTGTGAAAAATGCAATCTTGTCAGTGAAGGTGCACCATGAAACAGTGGCCGGGCAGTCTTTGTTTCCAGGCTTGTGCACCAAAGCAAGAAATTATGTTTGTGCATCAAGGATGACAGAAATTCATTTTTTTTAAACAAACTGCTCAATCTTGCCATGCTTGCATATAACTTGTGACTTTAAAATCATTTGGCCATGAAAATAATTCATGAATAAATAACAAACTTTGTAGTGCACGGTCAGTAACAAGACTGCAACCCTGGAGCTGGAGAGAAATTAGTGTTTTGCTTAAAAGCACTTCAGCAGAGTAGCAGAAGTAGTAGAACCCTCCCAATCGAAGGATAGCTGGGTCTCTAAGCTATAATTTTATTGGCACAGGAGAGGGATAACCGTGACAGGAGCACTGCAGTGTAACATGACCATACCAGGCAGTTATCATATTGCTTTGCCGCTGTGGTGTACTGTACCTGAGGTTCATTGAAATAGGTGAATCTCCATGGGGACACACATTCAACCGTGTGGAGATCCAGACTGTGTGTGTTTCCCTGTCTCTCACTTCCTGTGACACTTGTTCTGCCTGCTGGGCAGGATGTAGAGCAGCTTGCTGTGTGTCCTGTGGTTATGATTACACACTCATTATCAGTGGGATCGTTAAGCATAGATGTTATCTGTTGATGCGGATATTGTCTTTTTTGACCCGAGCTCGCATAGGTGACAAAACATAAAGCTAAATACCACACAAAAAGTCTAGCTGCTAGTATATCCTGAACTACTGACTGGTTTTGGTCAGTTAAAATTATGCTAACTATAACGAGAGAGCCGAACGTCTGTCTGTACAACAGTCTGTGTACACAGTGCAGAGTCATTGTTTCTCTGATTCATTCCTGTCATTGCAGGGCAGCCTGTTATCATTTCTTTGACTCCTGGTCTATATTTACTTCTCGTGACTTCTGTATTTGCTGTCATGGCTATTGTAAGCCCTACAACTGATGGTTGTGTGGGTGGAGAAGCAAGCTATACAAGATCTAAGATTAACTCCTCTCCTCTCCTCTCCTTTCCACCCAGCTGAGCAGCATCAGCAAAGCTATCAACTCCACCGAGACGCCTGTGAAGGAGAAACATGCACGACGTATCCTTTTCTATTCTGTTAAGATCAGTAGTGTGTGGTACTGCCTTTGCTTCACGGCGTGTGAAAATAGAGATTCTAATAGCTTACGAATGCCTTACATATAAATGTAACGCATTCGTAAGCTATTAGAATCTCTATTTTCAGGCCGACTTCATATTTTGCCACACAGTGTTTACATTCACTGTGTGTCAGCATTTAAGTCATCATGAAACAGCATTTTGGGAAAATGTTTATTCTGTAATTGGATAAGTTTCCTGTTTGACCGGAATGGGGCGGGATCTAACAACAGCAGTCATAATTCAGAAGTTTAAAGGAATGGGATACTACAGGAAGATAAATTAATTAAAAGTAATGGAATATAGATAGAAAAAAATATAAAAGAAGGCAACTCGTACATAACTTATGCCTGTCATGACATGGAAATCTAGCTACCATTTCATTGTGTGGGAAATGGCACATGCTGTATGTGTAACAGCCAGGAGTCCTGTGATACTTTGTGCTTCCTTAACAACTCAACAACAGGAATCATCCTGGGGACTCACAGGGAGAAGGGAGCCTACACCTTCTGGTCCTACGCTCTGGGCTTCCCTCTGGCCAGCAGCTCCATCCTCAGCTGGAAGTTCTGCCACGTACTGCACAAAGTCCTGCGTGATGGACACCGCAATGTAAGGCACCGAGTACTCTTACCAGCTTTTACTCTCTCTCTTAAATTTAGAGAAACTGGATTATTGACTTCATCATTGTTCACTTGTATCTTTATATGATATATATTTAGTGAGTTGCTTTTTATTTTTTTTAAATACTGTGGAAAATAAAATGAGACAACTTTCTCAGAAAAGACTGACATATTCAAAACACACATGAGTGAATGTTAGCTTAATAGGTTTTGATTGAGGTCAAGTATTACTTGAGATGTTCATTCAAGCTTTCAACCTTCACAGGTTCTTCAAGACTGCATGAGACATCACAGTTCTCTAGTTGAAATTGGTAAACTGTGGGTGAGTCTTCCATCTTTTTTATTACATCTTATAAAAATGATTTCAATAATTTCAAAAGAATGCTGTAGAAAAAGACATCTGTGGATAATTAGATTTCTGTAAGGCCTTTTAAATAATGCAGTTCAGTAAGAGACAAGAAAGCTTCAACTTATTCTTATTATTTGTGCTCAATTCTTCCTTTTCTGCTCCTGTGGTGTCCAGGCCAACCTGCATGACAAATATGGACAGCTGGTGGCTTTGTATACAAAGATGCTCTGCACAAAAATGGAGTTTCATGTGAAGGTAAGAGCATTTTATGTCATATCACACCACATGGTACAGTATGTTACCAAGATGCACATAAAATGTTTTGGGATTCAAACTGTGAATGGGAATAGGCACTAAACCTGCAAAAATGTGCTCTGCAGCATCAAGAAATCCCACCAAACCTGGAGGTCACAGATGAAGTCCTGGAGCGCACTGCAGGAACAGACATCAATAATGTGTGAGTTTCCAAATACTGCGGAAAATGAATTTTAAATTATCCATTTAACCTTAAATCCCAATTGTCATCAGACATAAGCACAGATGCTGCCACCCAGCTCACAAAATAAACCGACAAGCCCTGCTGCCTGTTTAATTTCACAGGGTCACATCATCATTGTCTCAGAGTGGGGCCTCTCTTCTGTCTAACGGAGGTATCAACTTCTATCCTGCAGGTTCCAGCTCACAGTGGAGGTGTTCGATTACTTGGACGCAGAACTGAGGCTGGCCGAGACAGGTGAAAGAAAAACTCCTCCCACCTTTTCCCCCATACTACTCTTCCAAGGAAGAGAAACTTGAGCTACAGTAAAGGGCTGCTGCCTGCTGACATTATCTATTTATGTACAAAAGCCAAGAGCCTTTTAAAGAAAGTTATTGTGAGCAACTCTTACCCTGCCCATTTTCACATAGACTGAAGTCCATTCAAAAGTGATTCGAATTGCTTGGCCTCGTTTTAACTCATGTTCCACTGTTTTTGCCTAAATTTGTTTTTAACTGATGAGGAAATGCCTGCAATTAGAGGACATTAACAAGATTTCTTCCAGTTTATCTGTAGTGGTATGCTCCTCCCAGGCCTGCAGGGTGGAGGCCCAAGATCACGTGTCAACACCATAAACAAATTTTGCAGCTGTACTGTGAAAGAAGTGTGCTTGTACTCTGTAGATGTACTCACATACGCGTTCTTAGTGTCAGCGCCATGTTTTTGAGACATTGGCACAAAATCTCGTGTTTGCATGTTGCAGAAAGTATATTGTTGCTACCTCACAGTCAGCAAGTAACAGGAGAACCGAATGTGAAAACTAACACTGCATCAGTAAGTTACTCAATGGAAGAGTCTGCACTTCATTCAACCAATGGTATCTGTATTCACCAGTACAGCCTATGTTTACACCACAAGAGGCCATTTACAGGCCAGCATCTAACACAGTCAAAATTTACTTTACAGGGATACTTAACATGTACTGTATGTTCCTTTCTCTGATCTCTCTCCCAGTAATCCGACAGCTCAACACATCCATCGCCATCTCCACTCTCACGTCTGGCCAGTGTCGGCTGGCACCACTCATCCAAGTTGTCCAGGACTGTAGTCACCTCTACCACTTCACCGTCAAACTGCTGTTCAAGCTGCACGCTTGTAAGAAAACCAGAAAATGCCATTTAGCATATCATTAGCCTAAAATTCTGGGATAGCTTTAAATGTTCTAAATATATTCTAAATATTTATGCGTCTCAAAGCATTGCCTGATAATAAAAACTTTGTACCATGTTGTGGATTTCAGGTCTCCCCGCTGACACTTTACAAGGACATCGTGATCGTTTCCATGACCAGTTCCACAGGTAGGTCATCCACGGCCTCAGGCTAGGAGTGAATGAGACTGCATCAAAGGGGACAGAATCATTTTTACCAAAGGAAGTGTGCAACATAATCCTGCCTCACCCAGTCACCACAGCACTTTGAACCAATGCAAATCACTGCTTCCCATTCCCCCCCACCCTTTGTGGTATGTCAGTTCGTGTCCCTGTCAGAGACAAATTTATATCTTTACTACTGAGTTCAAAGACGAGTCTTCAGGGTTGGGGGAGATGATCCCATTAGATTAATTCATTTTATGTAGTTCAGTTGTTTTACCTAATGCTTCATGTGACTTTTTAGTACAATGACACAGATTTACATTCCTGCCACTGCTGATAAAACACCGTCCGTAAAAAGCCATCTGTTACAAGTCTAAAAAAATATAAGCTAAAACATAGCAGATATGAGTCGGTATTACACAAGCTGTATTTTGTGCCATGAGTATGACATTATTATTATTATTAGACTAACTTGTCCTTTGTCCCACAGCCTGAAGACCTTCTTCAATAAAGCCAGAGACATGCTGTACTTCAAGCGACTGATCCAGATCCCCAAACTGCCTGATGTAAGAGCACAGAGGGATGGGGAGAGGTGGGATGTGGGATGACTTCAGTGCTGAGTCACAGCCTCCATGTTGGATGTCAAAGACTTCACCATAAACCTAATACTCCTATTGTTGGCTCGAGAGGGAGAAATTGACTTATCATTTATACAGACTGCTGTGATCTGTTGAAATTTGATTTCACATGAAGGTTTTCTCATAGAATCTTATAAATATGCACAGTGACTCCGTGGTTAGCACTGTTGTTTCACAACAAGAAGGTCCTAGGTTCAATTCCCGGCTTCTGTGCAACGGTCTCCCTGTGTCTGCGTTGGTTTTCTCCGTGTTTCCCCCATGTTTATGCTAGGTTAATTTCTCCTGTCAGTGCCCTTAACCAAGACTACCCAGGTGCTCTACAGTGGCCGCCCACTGCACCTAGTACTTAAAATGGGTTAAAAGCAGAGGACAAATGGCGTACTGTGTATGATTGTGTATGTGATAATAAAGTTGAGTCTATTCTATATATTTCACCTAAACACGATACCATACAAATTTAAGCAATACCTACTTTTCCTTTTTCTCTTTGGCAGTCCCCACCTAACTTTCTGCACGCAGCCTCACTGGCTAAGCATGTGAAGCCTGTGGTGGTCATCCCTGATGATGACGAACCAGAGCACCAAGACGACGACGATGACGACCCCGAGCCGCTCATTGAGGTCAGCGAAGTGTCAACCTCTAGCATACAGGCACAGCCACAGGTATGTCACAGATCCATGTATACAGTACACTGTGTAGGCTCGCTCACACAAGTACTTGTAGAAATAGTACCATGGCGTTGCTTAAGCTTTTTTTTATATTTTACTTTTTTTTTAGCAACTGGACATATTTGATCAGACGTTTGGACCTCCAAATGGGGGCTTCGATGACAGGTGAGCAAAAGTGTTTTTCCCACTGTAACCTGTGATCGTTAATACAGACTATTTGTTTTCAGAATGCTGTTTTATGCCAGCAAGCCGTGACTGTGTGTTTTCTGTCTGGCAGGGATCTCCAGATTGAGAGCTTAAAACGGGACCTGGAGTTGTTGCGAGCAGAGTTGGAGAGAGTCAAAGCAGAGGTAAGGACTGGTGTGACCAAATCACTTGGTCATTAGGTTTCAGACGTTTTTGTGCGTGCACAGAAGAGGTGTGGCAGTAGAGGGCATTATTATCTATGTGCAAAGGAATCTGGGTCATGTGTTGGGTGGATGCAAATCCTGCTCCTGACATGTGGAATGTGGCAATTGGCCTCTGAACGAGTGTCCAGTTGGGAGTTTTGACGTCACAGATGTGATTCCAGCTTGCAACCTTTTGCAAGTCATCCCTTTTGTATCTGCTTTGTTTCTTGCTTGTGTTTTTCTGTTATAAGAACAGACATAAAGTAAAAAGATAGAGAGATAAGATCAGAGCAGTCTAAAGAGATGAGCTGGGTTTGTAAAAAATAAAGACATCTTGTGAAATAAGAGATGTCTGAAAGATTATTATGTTGAATACTGAACAAACTGGATTTGCAATGACATTAGTAGATTATTACTAAAGCGCAGATCTCTCTTTTTCCTTCCTTAAGGCTCAGCGCTACATCACACAGCTGAAGTCCCAAATCAACAGTTTGGAGGCAGAACTAGAAGAACAGCGTGCACAGAAACAACGTGCTCTTGTGGAAAATGAACAACTGCGCATGGAGCTGGAGGCTACTCGCCGCCGAAACGCAGAACACGAGAGCGTACAGACCACCTTCATTGAAGCAGAAAGTGAGACATGCAGTCAACACTCTCTCTCATACGCTTGGACATGTGGTCAAGTGCATACGATAACGCTGTCATCTCTTTTTGCTGTGCAGAAAGATCGCAGGCCACTGAGCAGCGGTACAATAAGCTTAAGGAGAAGCACACAGAGCTGGTGGCCAGCCATGCTGAACTACTTCGGAGGGTACAGAAAGACTGCATACCAGTCCAGAGATTGTTTGTTTAAAATGAGATGTCAGCACCTGGCCTGGTGTGTGGTAACACTAAATGTGTTACTGTGTTGACAGAGTGCAGACACTGTGAAGATGCTGTCGGCGACCCAGCAGACCCAGGAAGAGGTGGAGAGGACCAAACAGCAGCTGTCATTTGAGGTTGATCGAATAAAACAGGAAGCTGACATGAAGGTTGGTGATATATCATTTGAAGGTCCAGTGTGAAAACATTTAGGAGGCTCTATTTGGAGAAATGGATTATAATACTCATAGGTATGTTTTCTTTAGCGTGTAATCACCTTAGAATAAGCCTTTTATATCTACATACGACATGAGTTGCCTTCCATGGAGTCCATGTTGAACTGCCATGTTTCTACGGTAGCCCAGAACAAACAAACCAAACAGTAGCTCTAAAAAGGGGCATTCAAGTTTTTTACAAGTTTCGCAGCCACCATAGTTTCTCCTTCGCGCTTGGAAAGGGTGGGTGAAGCCACGTAGATGCAATCTGCAACTTCACAGCTAGATGCCACTAAATCCTACACACTGGACCTTTTTCTTTCTTTTTTTTAAAATACCAAGGTAGCATTGCAGTGTAGATGTGTGTAAATAATGATGTGTTGTCACTGTAGCTGGAAGAGCAGAAGTTTGAAATGGAGAAGCTGAGGAGAGAGCTGGATGAGAAGATGGCAGAAGTGACGCGCATCAAGGCGACTCTGCAGAGCACAGAGATGGTGAGTGTGCACCTCTAATGCAGCAACGCCCTTGATGATGTTTAGCTAATTCACAATTATTTAGTATTTAGACTTCTCATCAGTTCTTTGATCGGAGACTTGAGGCATGTCACACATTTCCACATGGACTTTCCGTCCGACACTCACGGCCATCTGCTCTACCCTGGCTTCCTTCGTCGCTTTTCCAGACAACAGAGCAAGTGAACAGCTCAATGACGGCTCTGCAGGCAGAGAAGGAGCGTCTGATGCGATCTGTGAGTGAGAAGGAGGCGGAGCTGTCGTCGCTGCGGCAGGCTGCGCAGGTGCAGCAGTCGTCTCTTCAGCAGGAGCGAGAGAGGAACAGCAGGGAGCTGGGAGAGCTGCAGGGCAAACTGCAGGAGAAGGTCAGTCAGGACAGCGGAGCCGAGCTCAGCAGTGTGTACAGCAGACGAGTCTCCACTCAATACATTTGGTTGTATTCAGCAGTATTTTAAGTCTGTCTCCTTAAGAAAGAACATGCATGGTTAAAGTTTAAAGTATCTAAAGGGTATTACATTACAATCATGCATAAATCTGAAAAATAGCTTTTTTACTTTTACTAGGCATATGCCAAGGATGACTGTGCACATTTGTACAATAGCTAGGTTTGCATGAACTGCAATGTTCTAATAGTAACCCTAAGATAATACTTACAATCCAAAAGGATGTAGAGGTTTTCCAATTTTAGTCAAATCAATGACGTTTAGTTTAGACTTGTAATCAAACAATGACTCACAATCAGTTTTTGAGGCATTTTATAAATCTTGCTTTGACAAATAATGGCTTCCGAGCTTGTTGATGACACATGCTCTACCATCTGATGCTACCATACTGAATAGATGAAAAGGAAAAGGCTTGAAGCACAGTATTTCATTCATGGTGCATGGTGACAGTATGAAGGAAAGACAGGGTCTGAGGCGAAATACTGCAGGGAAAGTGTACTGTGGTGTAGTCTGGATTGAGTGGCATCAATGATTCATCAGCTTTATGCTCTGTGTGGCACATAAACATAAAATGAAAACGCTATGAAAACAGACCATTTTATGTAGGTTGAGCTATTTAAGAACAAGATGAAGGTCTCTAGTTGTGTGTGCATGCTCTGCAACAGTTTTGGAAGATGAAAAAATTTAAAACAGAATGTGGTTGTACATGGACAGATGCATTTACATTGAGAAATGTGCAAATCTTTCATCATTCAATGCTTCATTTGTTCAGTGTTGTAAATCTTTTTGTTGATGAAACCGTATTATTGGGATACAGTGGCAACTCATCAAGGTGTGCTGTCATGTTTTCTCCTCTAAGGTGATCATAGACAGATGGGTTGCCTGAGAAGTTCTGATACAAAAATCTAGTTTCTGCATGTTAATAATAATTCTCTTGTCATCAACATGTATGATATCATTCACACATGCATGGTCTTTTAAATGTGTATTTGTGTGTACATGCATATAGTCAAGTCAGGAGGAGCAGCTGAAGCAGAAGCTTCTGGAGGAGCAGTTTGCTTTGCTGCAGGGAACCGTCGCAGAGGCTGAAAACATCATCCAAGATGCTGTTGCTAAGCTGGATGATCCCCTCCACATACGCTGCACCAGCTCTCCAGGTCAGACCCCATACTGTTATTTCTGAACAGATTAACAACAAAATGTGTGAAAAAGTGTGAGAATTAAATGAGTTAAATAAAAAAAGCTAAGTGGAATGTTACAACCCTAGCTTGTTGATCATATACAGTATGTTGTCTATTCTGGAGAGTTATATATATTTTTCCAGTCCTCTGTTTGTTCTCCAAACACAGATTACCTTGTAAGTCGGGCGGAGGCCACACTGGGCTCCATAGACAAAGTGAAAAAGGGCCATGCAGATTATCTCAGTAACATGAAGGGTAAGTTTTGCTCTGCTTCTGATTCAACATGATCCTTCTGACCTCCATAACAGTTTGTGGCTGATTTTGTTATGTTTGTTAATGTAGCAAAATGCTCTCTTACCGTTTGCTCTTGTAACCAGATGCTGGAGGGCTGCTGAGGGCTCTGACCCAGTTCTCCCACTTGGCTGCGGATACAATCATCAACGGCAGCGCCACCGCACACATGGCACCCACTGATCATGCAGACCGTAAGGAATATCTCAGATTACTACTTTTGGCATTGCACCAGTTATACTTGTAGTTATTTTAATATTTACTACCCAGCTCATACGTCCACATTTAAAGGCACATTCCATATATTTGAGTTTTGGTTTCAGACTTGAACTTTAAATGCTTCAAGCTGCATAAGAGTTTAAGAGAGTTTTAAGTGCCAGTGTAAAAAGCATGCAGCATTATGGCTGAAAGTGGATCACTGCATTTTTACACCCCACAGGACTGACAGAGAACTGCAGAGGCTGTGCCACTGAAAGTCTGCAGTTTTTCAGGGACCTAAAGTCCAAGACCTCCCTCCAGAGGGCAGACCCTGCCTCCATTCGTGTAGTCGTTCAAAAGATCCTGCACTTGGGCCAGGTGAGAGACACTAACACAGAATATGTGTGTTCATTTTGTTATTTAATGTGCTCTAAAACTTGCCAGTCATGTTAATTGTTTATGGATTAAATTAATAACAGTTTTCTGACACAGTTTTGCCAGTTGCAGACAATTAATGTTACATAACAGTATGATTATGAATAATACCTTGTCTTCATCTGCTCCACCGTGGGCAACATCTGTCACCCTGCTCTGCTAGTAATCTGTGGTAAACATCTCTACCAGATATGCACAGCTCTTTTTTAAATCTCTCTCAGCATCACAGCAGAGTATGCGCCGTGTGCAATAATCTAATGTAGGTTAGCTACAAACAAAGAGACGGATGCGGTATCATACAGTTTATTCAGCATTTTAAAACATTCCCTGCCACTACTTGTTTCTGGGACAGTGAGGTAGACTTCTGTCAGCAGTCAAACACCCACATTAATGTGAATTGAACTCTCAATTGTATAAATGTTTTCTTCCAAGGAGGCTGACAATAAATTTGCTGAAACATAGTTTGCCTCTTGCTTTGACTCGATGTCAGTCGGTGTTGGATTACTGATATGTGAACTATTTTAGCTTATGTCTACAAAAAGAAGAAATCCATAGGCAGCTCATCTAACCGTCTCCTGAATTATGAACAGTGCAAATGCATCAGTATATTCTTTTGTAGTGTTTGGATATTTCAATGCAGTCTGTGATATTTTTATGAAATTATATTCATATTTTATCAATTTGTTTGGATATCAAATCTTAGTTTTTCATCAAGACCTTACCATTTAACTGTTCACAAGTGATGATTTAAGTCCTTTCATTTGTATTTTTTTCTTTTAGCATTACTAATAGTCTTTCCTCTTGTTATATGCAGGAGCTGCGGCCAAAAAGCATGGATGTTCGTCAGGACGAGCTGGGAGATCTGGTCGATAAGGAGATGGCTGCAACATCAGCAGCTATTGAGGAGGCAGTCCGCAGGATAGACGTAAGTGGTGTAAATGTTAGTTTGAGATGTACTCGTATTATCTATCTGATATTGTAAAGTATATTTATTGTAACTGATGAATGTCATGTATGGTTCTGTGTTTAGGAAATGATGAATCAGGCACGACAGGACACAACAGGAGTAAAACTGGAGGTCAATGAAAGGTTTGTTCTTTTTTGGGACTTTCTCTGAATTAGTTAAACACCAACTTGTAACAAGATGCGTTATTTTGTTAAAGTTGAATTAAAATCAGACTGGGGGTGTAACTCTCATGAGACCAATAATTGTAATTGATAGAGAACTGCAGAGGCTGTCGTTCTGTTTTTTCATTTTTGTTTTACCCTGTAACACTGCACATGTACAGTTTAACTTTACTGTATATAGTGTATATAATTTTATATTCTAGATTTATAATAAATATTTTTTATTATATTTGCTCTTTGCACTACATTTCCCCTCTGCTGCTGTGCCAAACTTGAATTTATCCTATGGAGGATCAATAAAGGATCATTTTATCATCTTATCTTCTCTTATCTGAATTCTTAAAGCACAATACCTAAATGCACTTATTATAGTTACCTGTTTCTCCTTAATGTTATTCTTTAATTAAGGTTGTTAACTAAAGAAAACAACCTATAAATTGCTACGTACATTTTTTTTCACTCTTCTCTTTCACTCTCTCAGAATCCTCAACAGCTGCACAGACCTGATGAAGGTACTGTAGTTTGATGTGTTTCAACTGATATGTTTTGCCATAGTCCTACATATAACCATATTATTAATTAATGTCCTAATATCCTTTTTATTTCTTGTTTCTCTTCTGTTATCATCCATTCTTCCATAGGCCATCCGCATGCTAATTGTAGCATCTACAGACCTGCAAAAGGAGATTGTCGAGGGCGGGAGGGTGAGTCACACTGTTCTAATTTTGAATCCCAAAGCGGCAGCAGCTTTTGTTTCTGAAATCAAACTGAGAGCTGTTCTGCTCCATTCAGAAAACAACAAATGGGGACTAACAGTGCTATTGTTTTGCTTGTGAAGGGTGCAGCCACCATTAAGGAGTTCTATGCCAGAAACTCTCGCTGGACTGAGGGACTCATCTCTGCTGCCAAGGCTGTAGGATGGGGAGCCACAGAGATGGTGTAAGTTATACAAGATAATACAGCTTATATTCTCGTACTAATAAATGTATTTCATGTAGCATTTTAAAACATGTCTGGGCTGTTTCTGAGCCTTTTAAATAATTTTGCCACATAATTCAGGGGTCCCAGAAATGCAGCGTATTTTATGCAAATTCTGACCCATGCACAAATGTATAGGCTGTGTAAATGCTACAAGAGGATAGCAATATTCTTGCTGATGGCTTTAATGTTTTATTATGTTTATACTCACGGCTCAAACCAAAGCAAATCATTTATTGATGTTAAAATGTTATGCATGGCACCTGAAATGACTCAGCCATTAGCCAGTGGGCAGAGCTGTACCCTTTCCAGTTAAGTGGATTTAAGTGGTATTATGTCTTCACCTGCTTCCTCACAGGGAGTCTGCAGATAAGGTGGTGCTGCACACAGGCAAATACGAGGAGTTGATCGTCTGCTCCCACGAGATCGCTGCTAGCACGGCACAGCTGGTTGCTGCCTCAAAGGTAATGGTCTAATTTCCAAGTATAGTATGATAAAAAACCTTTCAGATACTTAACTACATTGTATTATGCTAATTACCAAAGTATGAATATCACGCACAACGATATTCATCACTTTTCTAAGGTGGGAGTTTGATGTGTTGTCACATGAGAGTGCAAATTAACCATATTACATTTAATTATCAAGCAATTTGTTGTGCTAATGTAACTCTCTCTCACACATTAGTACAACACTCAGTAGCACACTGACTGTGTAATTGGTTTCTGTGAATGGGTTTGTTGATTTAGTGTCCAAACTGTGTCATCTGGTTTCACTCATATGCCCTCCTCTGCACTCAGGTTAAAGCAGACCGCAACAGTAGGAAGCTGCCAGTACTCCAGCAGGCTTCACGCCTCGTGAATGAAATGGCAGCTAATGTGGTGGCCTCAACACGGACGGGCCAGGAGAACCTGGAGGAGAAAGGTGAGTACAGTTTGATCTGTGTACTTGGTCATTGTAGAGTCTGATGAACATCTTCCTAATAACTGTTTTCATGCGCAGAAACCATGGACTTCTCTGGGATGTCCCTCATTAAGTTGAGAAAAGAAGAAATGGAGTCACAGGTAAATGGTGGTCATGGGACTGTGAGGGGTTTAAAGAGGGATTGTCTAGTGTATGTTTCTTACTTTGGTGATCTCAGAGACTAACAACATTCACTCATTATATTAAACTCTCAAATGTAAAAGGTCATGTCATATTTCTATTAATATTGAGCTCACATAGATTCTTGCAGTGCATGTTGCTAGGATGAGTTTAATGATCTATTATTTGTTTATTAGTTTAACACTGAAAGATTAAACATAAGCACAGGCTATAATACTTCTGCAATGACCTGGTTTATTTTCCCATTTCACATTAATAAGCTTGACACGCAACTGATTTGACATGGTGGAAGTCATTAAATTAATTTAAATTGAACTAAATGTAACCCGAACAGTTCTGACCATAGATAATCACCCGTTTATTTCCCGCCGCTCAGGTGAAGGTGCTGGAATTAGAAAGTCACCTGGAGAACGAGCGTCTCCGTTTGGGCGAGCTGAGGAAGAAGCACTACGTGTTGGCCGGAGTTCCTCTGGAGCCGGAGTCTGAGGGCAACGGTATAACCACCTCGCTGCCCAATCCTGTCACCATGTCACCGAAACCCACCAAACCTGCTCTCATGAAGAAACCCACAATGGCCCAGAAACCCAACATACCACCCAAAACCATGGTAAGGGCCGTGGGTCAGAAGGCTTTGTGTTGTATATGAGAAAATAAGATTAAATTTGATGTTTTAATCTGTCTCTGTTCTTCTGTGTGTTGCAGTTTAAGTAATGGCTGAGCAGAAATGGAAGAGGCTTCACTAATGGATGGTTGGATTGACCAGAGAAAGATTGCCTTTTTGTGAACATGCAATTCCTTTAAGTTAAATGTTGACAATCCTCTGCCTCATCCCGCATCTCACTGTTTTCCTCTCCTCATTTCTTATATATTATATTTTTCTTTTTTGCCAAAATGGACCATTTTTGACCCTTGATGCCTGTAAAAGGATTTGCTGTCTTTACCCCCCTTTTGTTTTTTTTAAGGATGCACTCACATGCCACCCAGTCAGAAATCTTTATATTTTAATTCTTGGCAACAAGAACTAAAAAGTTAATGGGACACTTTTAGGCTGTTTTGAGTAAAGTATTTTTTTCTGCATTATCACAATTTTAGATGATCAAGCATTACTGCTGCTTTTAGAATACAAACCTTGAGGATAATCACAAATCGACAGCGTATCTTGTCAATAGTTTTAATCAATCTTTGGACAACCTTTTTGCACACTATTTTGGACGTTCATTACAAAGCACATCACATTTTTCTTAATGTACACTCTATGCTATTTATGTTCTGGTGGGCGGTAAAGGAAACTAGGGAATCACATCGTGGGCGTCCATGTTACTGCAAAAGGTTTACATACCTCTGGCTTTGCCTTCATGATGGACAGTGTTCCTCTCATGTGCGAAAACAGCTTTCTTTCTCAACAGTACACTCGGAGGCCTTGAAATGTACTGTACTATTGCATTGAATAATACATGTAAAGACATACAGTCTGTAAAGGAGTGTGCAACTCGCAAGTATAATTTATACCAACACTCATCTCTTGAATGTCCCTTTATTAGAGGAGCACCTAGAATGTTATGGTAAAGCATATAGATAGACTTAACGCTTGCACACAAATATCAGATGTAGGCGTCCTTAATTATCACATGCTTCTTTTAGGCTGAATATGAACATTTAGGGTTAGTTATTGTACAATATGAAGGTGTTCACGTCCTCTATGCCTTTGGGCGCTTTTCTTACAGGGTCTTAAAATGCATCTTTTTATGTTCTGTCTTTCCTCAGTACAAAATGTCTTTATACACTCAGATCTATTAATATATTTTAGTAAAGATAATGGTGGTTTCTCCTCGTAAGAAGTGTAAATGTCAAACAAATGAACAATAAATGTTTGATTTAATGTCCCATTGTGTTGATTCATCTTGTTCCAAGCTTATGAAAAAGACTATCAACATTAACACATAAACCACACTTAATAATAGAGCTATTGGTAGATATAAATGTGTTATAAAATATTCCTACCAAGAAATGCAGACACTTGTTAATACACTGGTAATAAAATCATAAATAGCCTACTTGTATACAATTTAATCATTTGTATTTACTTCTTATTATAGGCTGTCTGTAACTTAAGTGCCAAGTAGTGTTGGGATATTTTAAAAGCATTGCTGGACATAGAAGGTAATACACTAGTAATATCATGACATGCGCAGTAGGACTTTGAGTCAACGTGGAGAGGGCTGCTGCCTTTAGGAGCGATTGTAATTCTTAAAACTCCACCTTGCTGATATAAGATTGGTGGAAACAGTAGGCAACAGCAACCCGAACGAACTTTGTTATTAATTTAATTCAAATGGATTTATTGGTCACGACGTTACACTGTACATAGTGCCAAAGCAAGCGTTTGGAATTAAAAATATTAATAATAATAAAGGAAAACAATATTTACAATAAATTAATTATAATCTATACTGTTGGTAATACTGTAACTATGATTGACTCAATCATAATCAATCAATCTCAGTCAATAAGTAATTAATTACAATCAATCAATTAATCAGTTTGTGTCAACTAAAATTGTAATTAAAACAGTAGTAAAATAACAGGCTACACTTAAAACAAGTAGTCTGTTGTCAATATAACAGTAATAACAAATTATTAAATATAATATATATAATATAACAATATATTAAAATTAAAATAAAATAGATGTCTGCTAATAATTCGAATTTGGGAAATGTTTGCGAATTGTTTTTCTCTTAAAGTTTTTAATGTAGGGCATGAGTTATTATGATTATAAATTATTATTATTTGACTTGAACATGAACGCTGTGGTGGTATTTATTAACGATGAACGTGACATGTACGATTTTTTTTGCGAGGCTATTGAATGCAGCATCGAATGTAGCACTGCTGTGAACGTTAGGTAACGTTAAGTTTAAACTGTCAACAAACTGAAACAAGTCGTCTCCATGTTCGCCCTCGCCTCTGCTCGCTTGTACAAACCAGTTTTTCTACAATAAATGTGAGTCTATTCAGAGAGTTACAGGAACCAGACACACATTTAATGTCGGACATTTAAATAAGGCAGACAAAAAAAAACACATGGAAACCTGCGTTATGTCCGCTCTGGACAGACCCGCGGCGGAGCTGACCGTCATGGATGTGTACGACATAGCGGCGGTGCTCGGGCAGGAGTTTGAGCGGATCATCGACCGGTTTGGGTGCGAGTCTCTGGTCGGGCTGGTGCCCAAAGTGGTGCGGGTGCTGGAGCACCTTGAGGCGCTGGTGAGCCGCGGAGCCGCCGGACAGGAGGCCGAGGAGCTGCGGAGGGAGCTGGATAGGCTGCGGCAGGAGCGCAGCGACAGATACAAGCAGGAGAGGAAGCACCAGAAGGTCTGTCTGCCTGTCTGTCTGTCTGTCTGTTTACCTGGATGTGCACCTGTTTGTGTAACTGTCTGTCTGCCGCTGTGTGTTTATCGATGGTTGCGACCTCTCAAAGTAAATAAGTCACATTTATACAGCCAATAGATAGGTTTTGACATTTCAAACTAAATAAACATAACTTTTTTTGTGTGAAACAAAAGTGAAAACACCCACAAGTAATCAGTAATATATTGATCAAACATAGACAAGGGGCTGATTTTTTACTTTTTAATTGCTTAACAATTTATCAATCATTGATTAATTGCACGGCAATCACTGGAACTATATGTGATAGCCTTAAATAAGGTAGATATTATATAGTAATAATAATGATAAACTATTTAAACAGCACTTTTCCAAACATAGTTACACAGTGCCTTGCAAACATTTCAGGAGGCAATAAAGCAAAATAAAGTCACACCAAAGGTAAAATTAAAAGAATCAGTAAACATAAGTGCCAACAATAGGGCAGATAAAATATATTGCAAAACTAATCGCACTCGGGCAGATAGTTTCAAACAGTTAAAAGATTCAAAATTAAGAGCATAAAATACCCATTACAAATATATATATATATATATATATATATATATATATATATATATATATACATACATATATATGATTATATTATTATATTATACTAGATTACATTAGATCATTTTTGTGTGGTAAACTGTCACACACAATACTATTTAATACATACATGAGGGAACAGTTAATTAATTTGTGGTATACTATACATTAAATTACTTTATTATTTTTGATTTATAGCACACCCTCAGTGACCTCAAATAACGTATGATTAAAAGTGACAGTGACATTACATGGAAGCGAGGTGTTGTTGTATGTTCTCACAAGTATAAATCGATCCGTTTCAAACTAATAAAAAGTCATTCGATTGTACTGTGTGTCTTTTTCCCTTTTTAAAAAATATATTTCCTGTATGTTCAGGATTTGGAGCTGGTGGAGGATGTGTGGAGAGGAGAAGTCCAGGACCTGCTTTCACAAATCACTCAGCTTCAGGCGGAGAACAAGAGGCTGTTAGTCAGCCTCCCACTCAAAGAGTCCCCCGTCATAGAGGAAGACCTGCAGAAACAGGAAGGTGAGTTGTCTGCAGCAACCAGTTCACAATGGATGGGTTTTGGGAGGTTTTAAGATGATTTATAGAACATTATTTACACTTTTATTTTGTCAATTAATTTTTTCTTTAACTTTTCTGGTGGAATAACCTAATGATGATTGGGATTGGTACTCGTATCGACAGACAGCCTGAGTTGAGCTATTAGAATCAGTTTCAGGAGAGAAACTGTTGGATCGGTTCATCTCTATATGAAGATTATAATAGATAGTTATAAGTGAATTGTCATATTTGATCTGTATACATTTCAAGTTAATTATTGTCTTAAAGAGCATTTGGTTTGCAGGCAGACATTAAAGACATAGATCAGAATGCACCAATGTCAATGAACAAAAACAATCTATTGTGAAAAATATTAAGGTAATATAGATTATAAACACATGCAAATATTCAGAAGATTAAAAATACATTATGTATATAGTGTATATAAACTAACACAGTATGGTCTGTTGTCTGTTGCTCTTTGAAGTCTAGTCATGCATGATGTGTTGAACTGTATCTTGTGATCACTCTGGACACTAAATAAGTTTGGTCTTGGCTGCGATTTCCAGCACAGATCATATTATCTGTTCCATATGTGTGCCCACTGCAGATTCGTGTTGCGCTGATTAACCATCTGCTGTATGTTACACATATTTTTACCCTATGTTGTCACGTGGTACAGTATATGCTGCACGCTTGCCTGTTGACATGAAAAAGGAGGCCGTGAAGAGAGGCAGTCAGGAGCTTGTAAAGGAGACTATTTTTGAAGCAGAGCAAAATATAGTTCTTGTGTGAGACTTTTATGGTGGCTGCAGCTACACTTACTGTTAGGGCCACAGTGCACACACACACACACACACACACACACACACACACACACACACACTGCTTATAAAAACATGTTCATTCAAATGAATGGGCTCTGCGTGATATGATTAATCTGCTGACACATTATTAGTCTAGTAAAATACATTAATGGTGTAACAGATGCATTAATACCAGGAGGAAGCCCCTGTAAGTATTCAGGCTTTGAAGGTCCATAATATTTCTGTAAACTATACATTACTGATGACAGTTTTCCAACATTTTAAATGTCATTTTAAATGTGTTGTTAGATTGCATTAATGTTGCATGTGTGATAATTGTTTTTGTGCTTTCTTAATGATACCGATAGGAATGTCAGAGAAGGAGCGGCAGATGATGAAGAAACTGAAAGACTTGGTGGATAAGCAGAGGGATGAAATCCGGGCTAAAGACCACGAGTTGACACTAAAAAACGAGGATGTTGAGGCGGTGAGGATATAGACCATATTCAGCATGTATACTGGCATCTGACAAACTATCTACATGTCTGTACAATTTACTTCCTTTGACCAGATTTTGTGAAGTCATTAAACACATCTCCTGAACTGTAGCTCCAGATGCAGCAGCAACGGTTGATAAGAATCAACCAGGACCTCCGTCACAGGATAGGAGTGATGGAGGCTCAGGGCAAGGCACTGATCCAGCAGAGGGCCGAGCTGGAAGCTACAGCCCAGGCGCAGCAGCAGGAGCTGGGGGCTCTGCAGCAGGAGGTCACCAGACTGAGAGAGGAGCTCCGGGGGTGGGAACTGGAGAGAGAGGTCACTGACATAGAAGAAACATCTCTTTCCAGATCTGGGATGTCATCACCTGCATCACCACAGATGACGGTAAGCAAAAAGGACTTATTCTTAAATATAATTAGGTTGAAACTATGTTTGGCCATCAGGTTTTCTAGTATCTAAGTGGATGTTTTGTGTTATCAATCCAGCCTCCTGTAGTAGCGCCATCTAACTCCACCATCAAACCAAAGTCAGTGTGGGTGGAGTGTGGAGACGACCCGGACTTCCTGGCAAACTGCTTTGAGTGTGACAAGAGTCCTTCCCTTCTCCCGAGGTCGTCAAACGGAGAATATAATGAGGAAGAGGGTGACAGTGATGAGGACACGACAGCATTGTTTCTGGTAATGCCTGCTTGACTCTCAGCTGTACACGCTCTAATGTGGTTATAGCAGAGGCCCACTGTAAGACTATTTATATAAAACACAAAGCATTATCACTGCTGGTGTCTCCTTAAGGTCATTGTCCTACCATGTTAAATCTGCTTTGTTTACATCAGCTTACAGTGTTTTTCTTCTCTTTTATTGTTGTACTTCATGGTGGCATCTTTCCAAAATCAATTTACCTTCATCAATAGGAAAAAATATTATGATTGGTACCCTACTGAAGATTTACTGAGCTAGCTGTTTCATTAAGTGGGTCAAGTGTGAGTCCATGCTGTGCAGGGAGAAATGCTAAATGTGGGATTTGATTTGCAGAAGGTGTCAACTG